TGCACTTCCATAATTTCTTTTTATTTAGGCTTCCCGGTGTGTCTTAGGTGTCATACCACAGCGTGACTTAGAAATAAAAGGGGACTTGAAAGTGGAAAACGGGAATTCCCAGTAAATCTGTCATGGCCCTCCCAAACTCAAACCTATCCCCATATGACTTCACTCTCAGGGAAAAGAAAAGTTTGACAACTTACCTGGGGTATGAAGGGTCTGTAGTATTGGATAGGGGCAGTGGTGTGTGTTGAGGGGTGGGGTGTACACAGTAGACTTTAACTTCACTTTAGCTTAAAAAGAGTGCTTTGGGGGTGTAAATGGTAAGTCGCAAGAGGAGAACCCGTCAGAGCTGCAGCTTAGAGCAGCTTAGAGCTGCTGGGTCCTCTCTCACTGCCTTGCTAGCTGCCCAGCAAAGTGCATGTGGGCCGGTGAGAGAGATTCCTGACTTTTCCTCCGGTCTGTGAAGGCATACAGAATTGCCGACACATGGGCCATCAGAGGAGAGTCTTGGCGCTGCACTATTTTCTCAGGGAGGTCCCCCTCAGGGAAACCCCATAGGAAATTATTATATAATGATTTTCTATGGGGGGAGGGGGAAGTCCTAATGCAAGCACAGCCATTATAATGCATGCACATTATGTCTCCCCGCCGGCTGAGGTATTTTTGTTGTGATTTTCTTTCTAATGACATTTCTACAACTGAAGCAACATAAACACGAAAAACGTGCATGGATCTAATGTTCAGAAATCTGTTAATAAATTCTGCTACAATTCTATGCGCAGCGGCCAGCATATCATCCAGTGGGGGTTAAACACTCATTGCTTTTTATAATTTTAATAACAATGTAGAAGTCAATATACTTCAAAGAACATCTGGTATTATCATATAGATCTATCCTGAACCAAATAAACAAGTACAGTTTGCCACATAGTACTCGGAATTTTTATGACCCATTACTTGTCAGTAGTAATAACGTGCATGTTTACAATGACCGTAAAACTTTCCTAAAGGAAAAAAAATAGACATAGCTGCTTTTTGCTGCTTTCCTACAGATCTACTACTCAATTATGTAAGGATATGTCAGACTTTTACAACTAAACAGCCAAATAAAAAGTTATTTGACATAAGGGGAAGAAGCCCAAGCACTCAGGGACACTTGGAAAGGTTTAGCAACATGTCTGTCTGCACTACTAATAGAGAATGCTGAGAAAGTGTGTTTAATATTCAACAGTCTATTTAGTAGCTTTATAGGAACAATATAATCTTAGAAATATAAAAGTGTGTTCCGAACACTAGAGTGCCCTCTGCCACTTCCCTTCCTCCCCCAGCTGCAAATAAAGAGCTAAAACCCCCTTTTTCAGTTACCCGATTGCAGCGCCGATGTCCCTCGGCACTAGGTCAGGCACCTCCCCCGACATCACGGCAATTCAGGAAACTAATCTGAGTGCTGCACATGCATTAAGCAGTTTCCATAGGAACAGTGGCGTACTAAGGGGGTGGGGGCCCCAGGAGAGCCGACCCCCCTCATGCTGCAGCCGCCCGAGCGCTCTGTAGAGAGCCTCAGGCTGCTGCAGCTTTGCCTGCCCGGGCGCAGCCTGAGGAGAGGGGCTGACAGGAGGGAAGCGCTCAGCGCTCCCTCCTGTCACTCCCTCACTGTAGCGTGGCCGAGCCCTGTATGGTCCGCGGGTACAGGGAGCATCTGTCTCCTGTACCCGGCCGGACTAACAGTAAGTACACACTCAGTGGTACTTCCTGTTAGTCCAGCGGGTACAGTAAAGCTCCCTGTTGCGTCGACCATACAGGGCTCGGCCACGCTGTGAGGGAAATGACGGGAGAAAGGTGGGGCTGGATAAATAAAGAAATTGGGAGAGGTGGATAAATAAAGATTGGGGGGATAAATAAAGATTGGGAGGGGGGATAAAGAAAGAAATTGGGAGGGGGGAGAGAAGGAAATTGGAGGGGGGGGGAAGAGATTGACATTCATCACACACAATGCACCCCTTGCACACAGAAAAACACACAATGCATTACAGACACACATACACAAGCAATGCAACCGTTACACACAATGCATGCCTTACACACACAGAAACACACCTTGCAGCCCTTACACATACAAACACAGATTCACACAATGCATTCCTTACACACATATCAGGACATCCCCTACACACTCGACCCCCTGTGAACAAACTCATTGGTGGAACATGAAGTTGGACCCTGGGACCCAGACCTTGTGCTGTGTAAAGGGCCCCCCAAAAAAATGGAGCTGCTTCCCGTTCTCCCAGAACATTGATTTTTGTGACCACAGTTACAAACCGCCTCCAGAGAGCCTGTTTTACACCAGACCAGTGGAGCCAGACTGCAGCTAGAGCCCATCATCATCCTCATCTGGTTGTAAGTAGGCAATCTAGTATATTATTCTTGGCACTAAGCTCTAATTTACCTCACATTAAAGAAACACTATAGTCCCCAGAACCACTTCAGCTTAATGTAGTGGTTCTGGTGTCTATAGCCTGTCCCTGCAGGCCTTTTAATGTAAACACGGCGGCACTGCAGCACTGGCGTTAGTTAACATGGCACATCATATGGGTGGGGCGTTAAGATGTCACATGGGGCGGCAAACGTTACTTTTGCCTAGGGCGGCAAAAATCCTTGGATGTGTGAGCTGTGGCCGCACAGTGCCCCATGGTAGTTAGGGTGCCATGCGGCCAGTACAGCTCACACAAGCAAACAGCTGATAAACTGGCCGCACGGAGGAAAAGTGGGGCGGAGCTAAGCAAAATCGGGGACGGGGCCAAACTGGCACTGGGGGCGGGGCTTAATATGGCCCTTACCCACTGCTGTTAGGAGGTGCAGCAAGATGGAATCTCTGCTTCTCCACAGGCTTCAGAGAAGGACTTCAGGGAATCCAGTCCTCCTCCATCCCACTGTCTGTAAGTAAGTGTGTGTGTGAGACTGTCTGTGTGTAACTGTCTGCCTGTAACTGTATGTGTGTCTGTGCATGTGACGGTCTGTCTGTAACTGATTGTGTGACAGTCTGCCTGTAAATGTGTGTGTGTGGGGCTGCAGGGATTTTGTAGAAGGGGCGGGGGTTTTGTATTGGGACAGGAGTCTTTATAAGGGGGGATAAGCAGGGGATTTGTGGAAGGGGGTCGCGGGGGTTTTGTATACGGGGCAGTTCAGGATTTGTAGAAGGGGCAGGACAGAGGTTTTGTAGGAGGGGCGGGGCAGGACAAGGGTTTTGTAGGAGGGGATGACAGCGGTTTTGCAAAGTTTACAAATTGTAAAAAAATAAAAAAGAGAAAACTTAACATTTTTTACATGTTTTTTTTTGGGGGGGGGGGGCAAGGGGGTGCCAAGCACCGGATCCGCTCGGGTGCCAAATGCTCTAGGTACGCCCCTGCATAGGAAAGCATTGAAGCAATGCTTTCCTCTATTGGTTTTGAAGACATTGAGTGTACTCATGCAAAGCGTCGTTTCAAGGGGTCAAACGCTGCAGGAAGCATGTCTAGTGGCTGTCTGCTAAAGCGCCACTAACAGCAGTCTTAACACTGCCATGCAAACATAGTTTTTATAAAACTGCAATGTTTGCAGCTGTAGGGTTAATGGGAATGAGACCGTGTACCCAGACCACTTCAGTGAAGTGGCCTGGGTGCCTATAGTGTCCCTTTGACTGGGGGAGGGAGAGGTAGGAAATATCACCAATAGCTCCTAGTTCATAGTTTCTCTTTAAGTTACTATGACACCTAAGACATTCCAATACAGCTTACACTGAAACTATCTGAACTCACAAACATCCTGAAAAGTGAAATCTCAGAAACTGCGCTTTTAGTCCGACAACATGTTTCATGAATACAATGACGTACCCCTGCAGGTCAAAAAAAATATTCCTCGATAACCCTGCCTCGAGAAAGTAATTTCTGTTGATTTAAATTTCAAATGAAAAAAGTAGACACTTATATTTAAATTAATCCCATAGTGGAGAACAAGCCTGATTGGTGGTCATAAAGAATATTTTTTAAAATATAGATGACAATGTGAATATTGTGTATGTAAGGAGGAGTGAACTATTAATGTGAAGTACGAGTACCACTGGTTTTAGAACAAGACCCTTCAATATTCAGTATTCTGTGCAAGACTCTCACTAAGCTATACTGACATAAACAAGTGATATCCAAAAGAAAATGTAATATGCTTTTTGTATAATTAGTAATAATTTAGTAAAAGTCATCACATAATCAGTGGATAATGGTTTATTAGATTGCGTTTTGCTTAACAGTCCTGGGAGTGTGTGACCCATTACAAACCATTTCACAGACTGATTATTCTAAACCAAAGTTTAGTTACATTTAACATTCTAGGCATTGCCCTGTAGCCGTTACCGACAATAGCTTTGTCAGCTGCTTCCATTCACACAATTAATTTGGGCATCAGATAACAAAAAGCATGGAAAATATTGATCATAAAGTGAACCATCCTGCCCTGGAGCAGTCAAATCCAGATGATTTATTTTTAAGAGTGTGTTCGGCGTAGAGTCCCCCTTAAAACCCAAAATATCTTGGTGAGAGAGTCAAAGCAACAATGAAATAAATTCTACATTCATACAGTAATTTCAAGAATTAGTTGTGTGCGCAACATCTTCACTAAAACCGAGTAGCCATTTGAGTGTGTAATGTGTCATTTACTAAGTTGTTCACGCCTCCAAAACTTGGAAGTCTGCATCACAGTGTTAATTCTAACGGTATTTTCATAAACGTGATTAAATAAAAAAATATCATGTAATTAAAAGCTGTGGAAATTAGGATTCATTGGTGCAGGTACTGTAGAATATGAATAATTATACCTCTTCCTGCTTTTATAGTACAAAGAAAAAGAGGCGATCTGTGGCCAACCAGATTCGAAAAGCTTCAGATATTTCCATCACTGTAAAAACAGATTACACAACCTCTATGATGCCAGTCTTTGTCCATCTGTGAAGAATGCAAGTTGAAGCAAGGGTATCATGCTAGAGCAGGGGTAGGCAACCTACGGCACTAGTGCCATGCACGGCACTCAAGGCTGCTAGAGCCAAACAGGCTCTGGCCTATCAGGAGTCCCAGTAAAACTTCAGATATCTGCTAATACGAAGAGGTGGTGAAGGACAATCCTCAATTTATGCATTGCAGCACATAGAGGAAGTGATCTCAGAGCACTTCATTCCAGCACTTGTGAATGGGAATCCACACAGTAGTAGAGCAGCTCGCAGTTGCTCTTGCAGCTCCTGTTCTTGACCTGTATCTGGCCGGCCTGGTCCCCACTGGAACCCAGGGAAGCCACCCACACTGCTAGATATACACAGAAATGCAGAATAACCCTCCCCTCATACAAATAATATGGACAGCCCACACACAATCCGCTTAAACGCAACACCACTAACAATCCACATACATGTACACAACCCCACATGCAGACTCTCACATGCAATACCCCAAATAGCCCCCACAAACTACCAAACACACAATGTGACATATCCATCCACACACACAATTCCACAAGCAGCCCCATACACAGCCCACATTCATATGTATCATACACAATACCATAAACTACTCATGAACATATACAATATAATAGCTCAAATACAACGATACAAAGCAATTACAGTAAAATAACACAAGCAGAATACGGCAGCAAACACACTTCAATTTTAAAAAAATAGGACCGGCACGCTACAGGACATTACAATCCTATATCGGCACAGTGCTGCTAAAAGGTTGCCTACCCCTGTGCTAGAGCTTTCTAAGGCAGTCACTGGATGATGAATGAATGTTCTTTCGGCCACCATGTAATATTCACAGTTTTACATTACTTCATATAAATTCTTACAAATGGCATACCCTTCAGATTTTGCATATTCAAGTAAAAGGCTAATTAAAGACTCTTGCTGAAATAAAACATCCATTATTTGCAGAATGTAATGTTACTTTACCTGTGAAAGGAATATTCCCATTGCCATACCCACTAGAGCAGTGGTTCACAACCTTTTTCACACGAGTAGCGCGCCTCCCCCACCGCTACTCCACTGTCCCAGACACAAACTGTCAGACATATAGACATACAAACACTGACACACATGCAGATACACAGATGCAAACACTGACACACATGCAGATACACATGAACAGACACAGATACAATTTTATTAAATACTCCTACTATGCTGCACTCTTGCTTTAATTCCCTCAGCAGCAAAGAAACATTATTTGAAAAAGATAACATTTGAACAGGTATAAACATCACAATTACAATGTCCACCTAGCAACATGACCCTCTAACCAGTGACATCCTTCTACTATAGTAGGCGGAGCATCGATGACCATTTCCTCTTTCTTTGCTGCTTCCCTCAGATAAGAACACCTCTCACAGTTCTACTGACTGTGAAACCCTCTTGTGATTGTATTATATGCTATTGTACTCTGGCTATATCCATATTTAATATTTTATCTTACTGTGTGGTACCTTTCAATGTTTATCCTTGTTTATGTGTGGTACCTTTAAAATTTTAAACTTACTATTGTGTTTTAATTAATATTGCAACCGGAATCCCTGCATTCCACATACATATGGTACATTCAACACCCAATACATTGTCCGTTTTTCCTGTGCTACTGCACATTATCTCTTGCAATTCACCTGTACCGTTATTGCAGGCAAACGACCATTTTCACGGGCGGTCGGACTCCCGTTCAGCCGCGCATGCGCGTCTCATCAGAGACACCCGGCGGCCATCTTGCAGTCTGATTATTGCACGCGGTTGGACTAAATTCCGATCGCGCCTTCAACCATTACTGATCTCTGACATGCTCGTTAGTCATGTAATCACTACAGCCACCTTACTCATATTAGCTCTCCGATTTTAACCGCGGCGGCCATCTTTTTTGTGCCAGTCGTCGCGGCGGCGGCCGTTTTCTGCAAGGTCCTTCCCGCCCTTTTTTGCTCTGATACGCCCACTCCGTCCTCTGGTCGGAGTGGGTGTCCAGAATTAGTGGCAGACGGTTCTCTGTGCTTTGTTCTCCCTCCCTAGTGGCTGAGAATAGTTGGCATTGCTACAATCTCTTGTTTTATTTTCTTGCTACTGTCAAATTTTCTCTGGGTTACTTAATCCAGTTCATCTGTACTTGTTATCAATAAATACCTTGCTTTACCAATAAAATACTTGGCTTTACCATACAATATGCAGTCTCCCTGGGCCATCTGGGGCTCAATCTAACCCCCAAGCTTCCCTGGTTTTACCTCACATGATTTCTGGGAACGAGACTGACTTCCCAGCATCTGAAGAAATTCAGGCAATTATGGACACTACTGTGTCAAAAGCCCTGGCATCTGCTATGGACATTATGTCCTCGTCTATCTCAAAATCTTTTGCACAAGCGATATTACAAGCCCAATGGTCTCTCATCCTACACACCCCGGCCGCAAGGCCTCAGCTAAAGTAAAGCACTCATCCAAAAATATGATGGACAGTTCTAAACCTGTCACAGATGGCGCACATAATGATCCACCGCGCAATAGAGCCTTTAGCCGGGCAAAAGCGGCTAGGCATTGGAAATAGGCTAAAGCCCAACCAGATTACACAGAGTCTGAGCTCAGTTCAGAAGAGGAGAGTGCATTTTCATTAGACTCAGACCAGTCAAATGATTTATCTGACTTAGATGCAGACTACGAATTTGGTGAGGATTCAAAACCCTATACTGACTTGCATACCACAGGCACGTCTATCTCTGATCTAACTAAAGAGGGTAAAATACTCGACCCACAGGGCGAACCCTTATTTGAACCTAATGACTTCCGTCACCCCCGCTCAGCGGAATGGTCACCAGCTGAACATGTGGCACAATATGTCGCATTGCTGGTCCGTAAGCCTAAGGCGGCCCAAAATAAGTTAAGGGTGGAATGCCCACGCCCCACTGTACCGGACGAGATCTGTAAGACCCCCCAAGTTGACCCCAAAATTATCCAGTTCCTAAGCAAAACTGGATGGAAGCCTAAAAAAAGGCTTAGATTTCTCATTATACAACTGCCAAGACAAGGTACTAGTTATTCTGGGCCCCGCAACCAAAATATTTGAAGCCGTTGAATCCTTGGCCCAAGATGAGGTCCTAGATCGGCTCACAATTAGGGGCTGGATCCAAAGCGTAATATGCCTAATTGGCAATGCTAATACCGCTCTTGCCACAGAGCACGTAAATCCATCCTATTAAAAATAGAACCCAAGCTCATTAACATGGCAATTAGAGAACCAGGCCCTCAAGCCAAAGGTTTCCTGTTCGGAGATTCATTTGTCAAAGACCTGGGCGCATATGTCCAAACATTTACTGCCTTGGACAAGGCACAATTAAACATGAAAAGGGTGTTCCACCCAAAGGTTTTTTCTGGGGCCGGCAGAGCAAGGGGCCGTCTGTCCGGTAGAGTTAATAGAGGTTCATGCAAAACAAACAGAGGCTCCTACATGGGGAGACCCCCCTTTCCAGAACAGAGGTCCACTCCGACGTTATTCCCCCAAAGAGGCAGATCATGGGTGTCGAGAGGCTCACAAGGCGCTCCTTCCGGAAGACGTCCTTACGGTAAGCTACCTACCTAATTTTTCTTCTCCTTTAGCAATAGGGGGCACATTTTTGCCTACGTGATTGGCTTCAAACATCGGACTGGATGGTAAAACTTTATCTACGAGATGCCTACTTCACGGTGCCCATTGCAGAGGCCCATCAGGACTTCCTGCAATTCAAGTTTCAAGGAAGGAAATGGCGGTTCCACTGCCTTCCCTTCGGTCTCTCTTCCGCGCCTTGGTGCTTCACCAAGCTCATGAAGCCAGTTATCGTTCTTCTACGTAGTTGGGGGAGTTGTCTAATCATTTACTTAGACAACATCCTACTGGTATCCCAATCGGTGCTCCTACTTCTTACTCACCTCGGTTGGACCACAACCTTACTACAGAAACTAGGCTTCATTATCAACTGGCAAAAGTCCATACTAGTTCCTACTCAGCGGATAGTTTCTAGGCCTCCTAGTGGATTCGGTAATGCAAACCCTATTCTTACCTGTCTCCAAAATGAGGAATATCAAAAAAGAGATAAGGCCTGTTCTAGCCTCCCCGCAATTATCTCTCAAGCACCTAGCCCGTCATCAAGCTCCTGGCTGCCTCCATACAAGCCATATTTCCAGGTCCCCTTCACTACAGAGCCCTCCAACGCCTATAGGTACTGACACTAGATGCAGAAGCGAAAGAAGAACTCCACTGGTGGCTCCTACACATGGAGGCATGGAATTTACGGTTCGGCCCAAGATGTAGTCATAGAGTCAGACGCGAGCTCTAAGGGGTGGGGAAGTCGTTGTGTAGATGTCTACACAGGTGGACGATGGTCGGACTTGGAGTCCACCTTTCATACAAATTGCTTAGAACTCTTGGCAGGGTCCTTCGCGATTCACAGCCTCTCCCTGACCCTACCCCAGTGCTCAATTTTTCTGAAGATGGACAACATATTTATGAACCATTTGGGGGGCACGAGATCCAAAGTCCTGGCAAATCTGGCTCGAGACTTCTGGCAATTTTGTCTGCAACACAACATTGCTATCAGAGCAGAGTAGAGTCTAACAGGGTTGTCTAACACTACAGCGGATTTGTATTCCCACCATCTGCGGGATTCCAGCGACTGGCACCTCGATCCCCATACCTTCCAGTTCATCCGGGACCTATGCGGTCCTCTAGCAATAGACTTGTTTGCCTCTCGCTTGAATACCCAACTTCCAAACTTTTTCAGTTGGAGGCCAGACCCGAAGGCTTTGGCTACGAATGCATTCTCCCAAGACTGGTTTACTGCCAGGAACTATGCATTCCCTCCATTCGCCCTTATCCCACGTTGCCTTCTCCATCTGCGGCGCCACTTGGGCTGCCTAGTGATAACCCCCATCTGGCTGTCACAACCCTGGTTCCCTCCGCTACTAGAGATGGCTATAGATCGCCCAAGACTCCTCCCGGACTCCCACTCCCTCCTGCGGGACCCTGACGGGATCCCCCACCCCCTGATCCTCCATGGTCTCCTCTACCTCATGGCATGGCTAATTTCTGGGGACCTTTCCCAATCGACTCTATGACTTCTCGAGGGCGCATGGGCACCCGGCACCAGATAGTCTTACATGTCTGCTTGGCGCACATGGGATGGTTGGTGCATGGCAAGGGGTGTGGATCCCCTATCAACTCCTGTCCTCCAATTCTTAACTTCCCTCTATGAGAAAGGGAAAGCTTATCGGACGTAAACTTCTACTGCTCAGCGATTTCAGCCGGCCACACCGGTATTGACGGAGCCCCAATGGGACGACACCCACTTACCTGTCACCACCTCCGCGGCATCCGCTTCGCAAGGCCACCTTTACCTCGTTATTCATCCCTATGGGACATTTCCTGACTATGTGGCCAGACAACGAGGCTTTATCCCTGAAACAACTCTCGGCTAAACTGGTCATGCTGTTGTGCCTGATCTCATGTAAAAGAGTATCAGACGTTAGAGCACTCTATGTCAATGCCCGCTCCTTCTCCCCAGACGGAGTCATTTTTGACATCTCGTGGAGGACAAAATCATCCTCCGGGTCAGTCAGATATCCAAGCTTTCCCCACAAAGCCACTCCTCTGCCCAGTAGCGTGTCTCAAGGTGTACAAATCTCGTACCGCACCCCTCCAAATTAGTTTGGACCCCCAGCTCTTTATCTCCTTTCGCAAACCGCATGCTCCGGTATCCTCTGCTGGCCCGCTGGGTCAAGTGGCTCATGTCCTTAGCAGGCATTGATACCTCCATATTTTCTCCTTATTCAGTTCGCGGTGCCATGGCCTTCAAAGCTTGCTTTGTTGGTTGTCGTTTGGAGGATATTTTGAAAGCAGCTTATTGGTCCACGTAATCTACTTTCCGTAACTTCTATTTCAAACCAATCCAGCATTTCGCAGAAGCCGTGATATCACAGCTTTGAAATAGCATAATAGGAGCCTCTGGGTCTTTAATAAAATTCAAGGATTTTACTATTATCAAGACGGAAAGTCATGATTTTATTAGAGACACAGAGGCGAGTATTGAGACACATGCAGATATCGGCATACAGATACACACATGCAGCGGCACAGACACACAGATACAGACACGGACTTACATACCTTAACACACATGCAGACACATACCCTGACACACTTAAGGATACACACCCTGACACACAGATACACATGCAGAGGCACAGAGATGCATACACTGACACATGCAGAAACACAGACATATATAGATACCCTGACACACTTAAAGGACCACTATAGTGGCACTACAGGGTTATTAGGTCGCCCCCACCCTCAGGGCCCCCCTCCTGCTGGGCTGAAGGGGTTAAAACCCCTCCAGCCACTTACCTTAATCCAGCGCCAGGTTCCCTCTCCTTCCCCTGCCGACTTCAGCACCGAATGCGCTACAAGAGCCACACGCGCATTCAAACCACCCATAGGAAAGCATTACTCAATGCTTTCTTATGGACATCAGCACTGATAATCGCGGAAGTGGCCTCTAGTGGCTATCAGGGAGACAGTCACTAGAGGCTGGATTAACCCTCAATGAAAACATAGTTTCTCTGAAACTTCTATGTTTTCAGCTGCAGGGTTAAAACCAGGGGGGACCTAGCACCCAGACCACTTAATTGAGCTGAAGTTGTCTGGGAGCCTATAGTGGTCCTTTAAGGATACATACCCTGACACACAGATACCCTGACACGCATGCAGGCTCCTCCTTCCCTCCCTCTCTTGCAGGCCACATGGTAGTGTGTGTGATCTAGGATCTCCCTCACCGGCGCACACGCACTATGATGCGGACTTCAGGACAGAGAGGGAAGGAGGAGCCTGCATGTGTGTCAGGGTGTGTATCTCTGTGTGTATCTGAAAGCAGCAATGAGTATCATAAGTAAAAGACTCTGTAGGTTTGCCGTGACATGGTAGGTGAGCTTGCACTTGAATGGCCTTTGGAGACACTAGAAAACCTCCAGTTACTTAGATGTGCATGGGGGTTTGGGATGGAGCGAAGGAAACTCTTAAGTTACTTGCCACGGCCTGCCATAGCATACCTGTCAATGACTAGTAGACAATAGTAATTTTGAGCCCTGACTTTACCATTTCGTTTCTAGAAGTAACCATGTAAAAATATCAGTCAACAAAAATAAAATGGCAGCAAATAACATAAAAAATATATATACCTGTACCAGGCATTTGGATTAGCACACATGGAGATCTGCCATCAATGCAGTGCTTGCAAAGCAGATATATCCTTCTGGGACAGGATTTTCACATTATCAGTGTGCTTACATCCGATAGCACATATAAATAAACAAATACCAGGTGTATTTTTTTTTTTTTTAATATATACAGTACATTTGCTGTATGCTAGGACAATCTATAGAGTAAACTCTATTATTTTGAACAGAACCCTTCTAACACATGGCAATCCATATTCACGAGGGATTTACAACACTGTGTTGCCTGCTGAAGACTACAGGACCTTTCTGGCCAGCCCTAAAGTAAAAAACAGTTCTGGGCCTGCTTATGTGAAAGTCGTGATATTTGTTTCACAGCTGGAAAATAAACACTGTAGGGGAAAGAATTATGAACAAACATCCCCTTCTTTAAACAAACAAACAAAAACAAATACTGTCAAATTTAAAACATGGCTGTATTCTGATTGGTGATTTGTTGCAATCAGAGCACAGCTGGAATTGAAACAAGCAGAATATCTACAGATATTGCAGGGACAATACAAATAAAAATGCATGTTCTCAGACTTTCACACAGAGGTTTGAACCATTTGTAATGTTCCGAAACGTGTACTATAATACAGCAACAATAAGTATATATATATAATATATATTTTAAAAAACTCAGAACAATCCCCCTCCTCCCCCAAAGAATAATCGTTCCATCACAATTGTGTGTGAAACCCACATTTAGTCTGTGTGCTTTCATTTTTAAGTCCAACACAAGGAAATTGCTCTTTGGTATTTCCAAAGAAAGAATTTGTCATAGTAATGGTCTATATAAGCAAAATTCATCCAGTTGAGTAATGCAAGTCCCATATGGTCACTTTATTGTCCAGATGTGTCCATAGAAGATAAAGTCACTGGATTACTATGCAAAGGGTTTTTTTTTTGTTGTTTTTTTTTTTTTTTTAAACCTCGAAACAAAAATGCTGGTTTTATTTTTCCCTCAAATTATTTTTTTCAAAAATGTTTTTTAAAAAAATCCAAAGTTTCTTCTTCTTGAGGTTTATTTTTTTTCTACGTTAAGTTTGTAATGGTGTGCTGATCCACAAGTTCTCTGAGAAACATTTGCTCTGCGGATACATTGTGATATTCATTCTGAGGAAAAAAAATAATGGAAAATAAATAAAACTTCTAAAACAATTCAAGTTGGTTTGTTTAGTGTTTAGGTCAATGCACAGGGAGGGAAAAAAAAAAAAGTTTTCGTGTACAACTGAAAGTCCCTTCAATTATTCTACTTCTATACTGAACAATTTTCAAAAAGGTGGATTATTGCAGGGGAGACTTTTTAACCTGTATGACTACTGGGGTCACATGCATATAACATTTTGAACGTTAAAAGAAACACGGTAGGCACCCAGACCACTACAGCTGTGTCCCTTTTGCACCTAGTGCTGCAGTGTTAAACATTATAGTTCCAGGTCCTCACGGACCTCCACCGTCAGATTTAAAATTATTGCTATTGCCGCACATGCGCATTAGATCTCCCCCGCCGACGGAAGTGGAGTGTGGATGGGCCTGGCCCAGAGCCGAGGGAGGGGGGCACTCCAGGAGCCTCTAGTGCCAGGAAAAAGGTTTGTTTTCCTGGCACTACAGGATCCCTGTAAAACAAAAGGACAAAAAAAAAGGTAAATAAAATCTAAACAGCTTACCATATCAATGTTTAGTCACTAAAGCAATATTTAGGCCAAGATAGCCAAGTTATCATTAAAGGGAAACCCCAAATACATAAAGCACTTCAATTTGCTGAAGTGCTTTATGTGACTGAAGTCTTGTCTTTTTTCAGTTTATAAAAGTGACAAATTCAATTTTAAATCCATGCCACAACACTTCTGCTGTTTATTCCCCACTTCTGGTAGCCACTTTGAGGAAAGGTGAAATTTAATATGTTGGGTCTAGATCAATAAAAAAAATAATTTTAGGACAGTTCCATGGCTGCATATATTCCTGGACTGGCCACTGCTATTCTGTACATCCTGAGCCAATGAGAGCAATGTGAGCTGAACTGGTGGGAAACAGAGTATGCAGATTGGAGGAAGAGAAAGGACAGGGAGACACATGGTTATTATTATTACTAAACATCTGCCTGCATGCTTGTCTTAATTTTATTATAATTTTTTTTCACATATCCGGTGGGTCAGCTCCAGGGACCATTTAATGCTCTAGTTTAGAATTTAGCATAGGGCTCTGGGAAGGGGGAGCAATGATTGTAAGATCTTAATGTATTTTTTTTCCCCCATCTTGAAATGCAATTAACCCTTCCAGGCTCTGAGTTAATCAGGTTTGCATTTTTGCTCTGCCACAACTATTGCACATGCGGTTTGTGTAAAGAACTAAATGTCTATCACTCCACCAGATCTGTAATATTCTGACTGATAGAGAGAATCATTGTTTCACTCTGACTAAATAATAACTAAGATACAAAGAGAAGATGACAGACTGGCGGCCTAGGAGCGTCCAATAAGAAGATGCAGAGAGTGGGCAAACATATATTTGGAACTTCACAGAACTACTTAGACAAGTGCAAACGTAGTAGTTATGAACACGTAACAATTCCATATAAAATATGAGGAGGGGTCTGTAATAACACATTACCTGGGCCATTACAGACATGGTATCGTTTCCATAGTAATGAAGTGTACTATTCAACGACGTCAAATTATATTTAAATCCTGCAATATGTACTTCGTTGCACATGTGGAATGCCAGTGTGATGGCAATAATTCCGGTGGTGGGATGCTTTGGTTTCTGAAATGAAGAAATTAGCGTAATTAATAGAAAATAAGGTTTTGCCAAAGAAACCTACTTAATTCGATTGATATGAAAATTCGGAAACTTAACAATGGGAAAGAATACGACCAAAAACCAGCACTATCCAACTATGGTTCAAAAAACATCCCATGAAGGTTAATTGAGAATTGTAATTTCTCTGGTAATTACACCATTACAAAAAAAAAAAAACATTGAATTATATATATTTGTTTTAATTTAAAAGTTCATTAAAGATTTAGTAAATATTATCACAATCCAGTTCAGTCCTCACGCAACTAGTACACACATTAGAATGGATCCACTAATTGTAGCTTCAAGTTCATTTAGTAACCCCTTAAGGACTGAGCCACATGTAGACGTTTTGATCAAACTTGGAACTTTACTATTAGTGATGTCCCGAACATGTGACCCTGTACCTCACAGTCAGCAGACACATTCCAGCCAATCAGCAGCAGACCCTCCTTCCCAGATCCTCCCACCTCCTGGACAGCTCACTAAGAATGCAGCTTCAAAATGGATGCTGTCCAGGAGGTGGGAGGGTCTGGGAGGTAGGGTCTGCTGCTGATTGGCTGGAATGTGTCTGCTGACTGTGATGTATAGGGTCACATGTTCGCTGTCCCCGGCGAACCGTTCGGGACATCACTATTGACTATATATCTGTTCAACTGTAATTCACCTCTTTCATATTAAGTACACCCACACTGATTATATATTATTCAGGAGAAATAGGGCTTTCCAAATATTTAGCTATGAAACATAATATAATATTAATATTAAAAAAATTGAGAAATTAGGGAAAAAAATATTTTTTTTAGTTCTGCATGACATTTTACCTGTTAATGCCATAATACGGTTTGCTTTTACTGCAATAAAATACACATATTTGTATTCAGCGATGTCTCACGTGTAAAACAGTACCCTGTATGTACAGGTTTTTATGGTGTTTTGGGAAGTTACAGGGTCAAATATAGCATGTTACATTTTTCAGTTTTTTTCACTTTGAAATTCGCCAGAAACTGACCACTTCGTCACACACACTGGCCAAAGTTAGCCTTAATATTTGTTTATGTGTTAAAAATGCAAAAACCTTTTTTGAACACCAGTTTTGGCCATTGTTTGTGACTAAGTGGTTACTAAAAAAGACTGAACATACCCCATTTCTATTACCTTAGGTTGTCTACTTTTGCAAATGGTACGCCATCATGGGTGTAATTCTCATTCCTGGGCTATCATACGGCCTCAAAGGTATTGTAACTAATATGGTGA